AAGAAATGGAAGCAACCTAAGTGTCCATCAGTAGATGAATGGATAAAGAAGATGTGGTACATATACACAATGGAATATTATTCATCCATAAGAAGAAAACAAATCCTACCATTTGCAACATGGATGGAGCTAGAGAGTATTATGCTCAGTGAAATAAGCCAGGTGGAGAACGACAAATACCAAATGATTTCACTCATATGTGGAGTATAAGAACAAAGAAAAACTGAAGGAACAAAACAGCAGCAGAATCACAGAACCCAAGAATGGACTAACAGTTACCAAAGGGAAAGGAACTGTGGAGAATGGGAGGGAAGGGAGGGAAGGGAGGGATAAGGGCGGGGAAAAAAGAAGGGGGTATTATGATTAGCATGTATAATGTGGCGGGGGGCACGGGGAGGGCTGTGCAACACAGAGAAGACAAGTAGTGATTCTACAACATCTTACTACGTGGATGGACAGTGACTGATGGGGTTTGTGGGGGGGACTTGGTGAAGGGGGGACCCTAGTAAACATAATGTTCTTCATGGTAATTGTAGATTAATGATAACAACAACAAAAAAGTCAAATTTTTAAGAATTCATTTGCTTTAAACAAATATCATGTAAATATTAAAAAGTAAGGGCATAAACTTGGTGATAAAAAAGTGCTAACCAGAGTAAGGGCAAGACCAGAGCTCTGTAGCTTATCTCTGGTTTCCCTTCAGTCAGGTATCAACCCATTTATCAACATTTTGCATTTGGTAATAAGAGTAGATATAGTTCCATTTAAGCAGACCTTATCCAGTGCACATTCATCTCTTGTGTCTACCAAGATAAGAAGAGAGATTATGTTTAGGGTCCTAAGGAACCTAAATGGGCTCATGTTCAGCAATTCCGTATCCACCACCCCAGTCTGGTAAACTTTTAACAAAAGTAAACATGATTTGTGTCACCTGGCCTTTTATGGAAGCTGTGCTAGTTTGAGGGAACCCTCCTTTCCTAAGTACTCACAAACTCTTTTTTTTGCTCTCCCAACAAGGTTCTAAAATTATTAACAAGTTTTAGCATCCAAGAGCCATCTAAATGCTCTCTGCAAGAACTGAAATATTTACCAGACTCCAGTCTTCTACCATTAACTGCACTGTTAGGATTCCTCAGAAAGCTATGAACAATGATTTTACAATCTTCTCTACAAGAACTCTGGTATATCACTTAGCTGACCCTAAAAATATGAATTAGATTCAATGCAATTAGATGTTCTCCATAATCCCAATTACCTTGGACTTACTACTCTTGATCTTGTTTGTCCTTAACCAGTTTTCACAAAAACAAAAAGAAAACATTTTTCTTTCTTCTAGACATTCAGTGAATTCATTGCTTTCAAACATAATCCCCTGAAATAAACCACAGTTGACTTCTAAACAACACAACATGGGAGATGAACTGCATGGGCTCACTCACACATGCATTTTTTTCATTAAATAAATTGGACAAATTTTTGGAGATTTGTGACAATTTGAAAAAAATCTTTTCTCCAGCATAGTTTATTGTAAGAATACAGTAGATAATACATATAATGTACAAAATGTGTTAATGGGTGGTTTATGTTATCAGGAAGGCTTCCCCTCAACTGTAGGTTATTAATAGTTAAGCTTTTGGGGAGGCAAAAGTTATCGAATTTTCCACTGAAGGGTGAAAGGGTGCTAGTGTCCCAACCCCATGTTGTTCAAGGGTCAACTGTCATTCATTTGCAGGCCAAAACTATGACCAATTTTTTATGACATTCAACTTTAGAAATGGCATTTAGAACTTAAGGACCTCATTAGCAATTAGAATGTTTCTTCATTGGTTGTTGGTGCAAACTACGTTTTCAAACTGGAATAAAAGTCACACAGGCTTTCAGCAAGAATCAACTCAATAGGTCTGCATAATGCATCACAATATAATCAAAATGAGGCAAAAGGAAAACAAACCCTAAAACGAGACACCAATGGTACTGCCTCCGGGGGAAAAAAAAATCCTGGTTAACTATTACATTTACAGTCAAAATTATTTAACAGTCAAGCATCCTGAGAACACATACAATGCTAACCAAAATGTCTTATCAATACCACCATGACTATCATCATTCATCTACTCTTCATTCAGCAAAAAGTTTACTAAAGGTCACGCGCTGCTTCAGGTGCTGAAGATACAAGAAGGCGCTCTCCATCTAGCAACATCATTCATACAAACCTTTAATCAGCGCCTACAATGGCAAAGCACAGTGCCAGGTATCTCTAAAGAGCGATTTAGAGCAAGAGACACGGGCATTTTCGAGTTTACCGTAACAACCATAAAAGGCTACCCTCAAGTAACTACTCTTAGAAGTCGTTCCTAACGTCAGATGACTTAGCGAAAGCTCCGTTGAACTGGCAATCAATTCAAATTCAGGCAGCGTTACTGACCGTGCTTTGTGCTGGTAATAGTCTTAAGAGCTTTCAGATAACCTCTAGACTTAGGCCTCAACATTCCAAAGAACAATTCCTTTCGTCAGACACCAAACCACCAAGGAGGGTCGGTAAGACCGTGTGTTGGCAAGAACGAACCTAACCGCGGAAGGGCCTTTTCCTTAATCTTTGACCCATCCTTGTTAGGCGGCTCTTCGGACTCCAAAGCCGGAGTATCCCAGATGTAGAATACCTAAAGTCTCGGGCCTAACCAAGGATGAGCCCGTCACACTGAGAAATAACTGGGAAGATGTGAGCAGTGTGCAGTTTTGAGGCTGCGTGCGCGCATGTGTAAGACCCCCGCCCCTTTTCCTCACCTAACAGAAAGTCCGTAAACCCAAACCGCCCCCCCCCAACTGCGAGGGCCACTACCTGTTCTACCGTCTGCGCCGGCCTCCCTGCCTCGCTTCTGCGCCCCAGACCCTCTCCCGAAGCCCGTCCCGCCGCCCCGCCGTCGCCCGCTAACTTCGATCTGTACCGGGGGTGGGGGTGGGGTACAAGAGGCGGAATTCGGGAAGAGAGACTCCGCCAGGGGATGGAAGCAGGTGGTCATACTCTACTCCGACCTCCTGGTAAGCGGGAGCGGAGTAGCGCTGTCCGCGGTCAGTCGGTCACTCACCCCTCGCCTCAGGTAAGCCTCTTAGCGACGTCTCTCCACGCCGACCGCAGCCATCTTGGAAATGGAATGTCGGGGACGCTACGTCATCGCGCTGCGTCAACGACGGAAAACCAACGACTTGGCGCGGCCTCCCTCTGCCGCCTCCTAACCGTTCTTCCCCGGACCAGCAGCCGGCCCGGTCCCTGGCTGCTTCGGAGACCACAATTGGCTGGACTGCTTCCACGCCCGGCGCTGACTGGAGGAGTGGTGCCGTGGGCCCCGCCTCTCAGGTTCGAGTTCCGTTAGCACGTTCGGTTGCTCTCGAATTCCCGATCGCCCAGGGAGGCCGGACCGACGAGATGCGACCCCGGCCGGGCCCACCTCCTGTCAGCTGCGACGACCGACCCGGGGGGCGGGGCTGGGAGGAGACTGGCGACTCTTCCCTGGTTTGGGAGCTCTACTTTCTTCTGATTGGTTGACGGGTGGCCCTCCACGCGTCTGAGCCGTGGGCCAATGGGCGACGGCGGCGGCGGCCCTGGGGCGGGGCCCTGGGGCGGGAGCAGTCGGGTTGGGCCGCGGCGGCGGGGCCGTCTCAGGCCGCCGTCCCGCCCCTGCAGTCCGGCTGCCGCTGCTGCCGCCGCCGCCGCCGCCGCCGCCGCAACCACCGCCTGGGGCTTGGTTGAGGCGGACGGTGGGACCGGCCGGAGTGTGGCGCCGCCGCGGCTGCGCGAAGGGGCAAGCGGGCAGGTGAGTGCCGGCGGCCACCCTTCCGCGCGCGCGCCCTCGCCCCCCGGGCGCTGCGAAGGCCCCCCGGCCGGCCGGCGCCCTGCGGCAGTGTCCGGCCAGATCTGTGCCGCCGCTCCGGGCGTGGGTGTGGAGGGCGGCGTGTGCCGTATGCTCGGTCGGGAAGGCTGGTGTGGGGCCCGGCGGAGTCGGAGGCGCCGCTCGGCCTCTGCCCTCCGGCCCTGCCGGGCGGGGCGCGCTGGCTGCAGCCCCGTGTGCCCTCGGGCGCCCCACGCTCCGGTCGCTGTTAAGCCCGCCGGGAGGAGGCGGCAGGTGCAGGGACCTCTGGGCTGCGGTGCCCACCGGCCCGGCCCTCGGCCCTCGGTCCTCGGCCCTCGCGGCTCGGCTCTGCGTGCGGCCGGCTCGCGCCCGCGCCCGCGCTTCCTTCCTTCCTCCCGCCGTCAGCGCTGCCGGGGAGGGCTGTGCGGCTTGTGTGTTCCTCTCTCCAAACCGCGGGTCCCGGGGACCGGTCCCTGCTTCTCTCCCTCACTGTCCAGTTATAAAAACAGTCGTTGGAAATAGGTCATTTTCTTCCCACGCGCCCTGGCCGTCTTCCACACGCTCTGTGCCCTACTAGGGAGAAAAATTCAGTGCTTTGGAGTTCGTCGTTCTGGCATTAAACTTATTTTCCTCGTGGCTCCGGCCTGGCGACGCAGCTCTGAGCCCCGCTTCCGCTCGGGGAAAAGGCTCCCGTAGGTGACGGGCGCCGCTGCTGCGGGGGCCTCACCTCCGCCGAGTACTGACACCTTGAGGATAGCTTGGATGGTATTGTTTTCCTTTTCCAAATGAAGGCGTTGTTGTTTCAAAAGCCAAAATACTTTTAAAGTATGTGACAGGTTAATTTTGCTTTTAAGAATCCCCGGAGTTAATGTTTCAGCGCTGGGCAATCCATAGCTTGATAGTGGTGGTGGCTGCACAGAGGTGTGAGTTTGTCAAAACTCACCTGGACACCTTCAAGTCAATTTTATCGTGTGTAGTAAATGGTAACCTCTCCCTCCCCCGTTTTTTTTTAATAACCCCGCTGTATTTCAAAACTGAACTAGCCAAGGATAGTCTTGGAGAGTTTTTTTTCCCCCCATTTTAAGTGAATGCATTTAGCTGGAGAATATAATAAAATAAAAAGCTGCGTTCCTCTCCACTGTGAAAGTTTGGCAAGACTTGCTTGAACTGTGATACATTGTGTCTATAGGCTGCTATGCATGTAGTCCTTCCTTACCCAAATTAGTCCCCGGGGCTGCTGTGATTGATATTTTGGTAAAATGCCAGCAATTTAAGGAGGTGGTTTTCTGTGGCCCAAGAAAGTGGTTTGTAAGCCGAGTTCTAAGCCACAGAACAGCCTCTTTATTGGGACCCCAAACAACCTCTGTTTTTAGGCTCCTGCTCCCCCTTCCTGTCTGCTCTGTTTTGTATGCACTTAAAATTGCAAGGTAATATCTGACATGGAGCTCTAGTCTGAGAGTAAAATGGTTGCTGCTTCTCATCTCTTCTCCATTATGCTGACATTTCTCAGTGCTTTTTTCCTGGCATAGGAATGATTTTGGACTTAAAGATTAAAACATTTACACCTGAATGTGGTGTGGAAATGAAAGTTTTGGTTCAGTTCTGTCAGGAATGCAGTAAGACTGTCACTAAGAAAGTAACACTTACTGAGCTGCTCTGTGTAGTGAACTTTTAGGCCACATATTCAGTGATGACCAAACCTTTGCTTTAAAAGCCACTGGAAAATGAGAAAGATGTGAGGGTTGTACTCAAATATCGTTCCACTCTAAAGTTCGACCATTGGAAAAATTTTTTTTGCGAGCTCACAATAGCATCCTAAAAACTTGGGGCTCTCACATCTAGAAAAGAATGACAAAGACAACAGCTAGAGAAAAGTTATCAGGGTTATTAGCACGAGGCTTGCTTGAAGTAAATATCCAGTAGATAAGCATTGAATTCAGTAAAACCAGGTGTGGAATTTTAGTAAAAATATGTGTAAAAATCTGAGCTGCTAGCTCAGGGTTACTTTGGATTCATTTTTACTGGGTGTCCTTCAGTTTGAGGCTTTCCAGATCACTTAAAATGTTTGAATATCATGTCTCCTTTTATCTTATCACTAATCTGAAGTAGCTTTTAGAAATGTGACTAATACTGTTACCTTTTTTTGGTGTAGTTTGATGAATACCTTTTACTGGGAGATTGTCTTTAGAAACTGGTTGTCTGTGCCTGGTGCTTCCATCGGGGGTGTGGAGAAAGAGTTAGAAGCTTGTTTCCTCTGCTTGTTCCTCAGTCCTGGGACTGCAGCCATGATATGGTTTCCTCACAGAGGAATAGGAGCCATTTATTAAGATGACATTAAGCATTTTTAACAGTACATTGACTATATCTTTATTCTTATGTTACTTTGGAAGTTGCTCGTGGCCAATTTGTTTTCTCAGTTAGTATTACATTTGGGCCCATTATTTTATCAGTGAAAAAATATTTTAATTTGCTGCATCCTTTTTCTCTTGCTGTAGTCATAGAACTGTTTATCTTGGTATTAGTTCATTCTGAGTCATAGTTAACCAGTTAAGAGTATTAGATTAAGGATTCCTTGCTTTGAAATTTTTCCGGTTTTCACTTTTGTTGCATTTACACGTGTATCTTACTTGGCAAAATTGACTTCTATATATTGGATTTCCTTTTATCTCATTTTTCTACTCATAAAATAGGAGAGGTTAAATGTTTTGATTTGTAAATACTATAATTAAATTACGTAACATTTATTCTTAAAGAAAAACTTATGACAAAATGTTAACACATATATTTTTCTATTACAAAGGAGTTGAGACTTTTTATTAGGTCACTTAATAGTCTTAGGGAAAAAAAGCTTTTTTATCAGAATTGGCAAGATTAGAAGTCCTGCTTGTTTTTTGTTGTTAAATTCATCGAGTAACTCAAGCCAGAGATTAGCTCCATAGACCCCATTACCATTTGGGAGTGTCCTCTAGGTTTTAGAAATAAACAGATTGTAAAACAAGAGGTACAGATACAGGTATTGACAGTTTTCAAGTGAAATCAATTTGAAGAACAGTGATTCCAAATGATTATAAAATTCAAATACCAAAGTTAAGACTTTGAAACCCTTTCTTAATCAAGTACTTCCAAATAGAAGTTAATTAATAATCAAGATATGTCCAAACACTCTTGGCTGACACTGAAAGACACGTCCAACTCTGAAGTTAAGATTTTGAAAGGGATCTGAGGGATACTGATTGCCAAGCCAAAGTAAAATTTTAATGTTTTACATACATAGCTTCAGTAATGAGGGTGTGGAGGGAGGGAAGGGCAAAAGGGACAGACCAGAAAGAAATGTTTTCCCTGTTTTTTAGAAGGACTAAAGAATTGTCTAGAGAATGTAGATAATTAGGTATCTACATAGAACTCTTGATAAATAAGCAATATTTTAGGCTTATTACATACCTATTTATGACTCTGAGTTTCATGTTCCACTTTTTTTAGGATATAATTCATTAGAACATAACAAGGTCTAAAAAAGTTCTATGACTAAGTGCTTTAAAGGTTTCAATCAGAAAATAGGCATGACTCTTCAATAGCAATAGTTTTCTATTAAGTACAGTTAAGAGAAAGTAAGAATTAGTGTTGAAAGATACTCAGTAAAGTTGCTTCTACTGTAACACATTTACTAATGACTAATAAAGTTTTTCATTTGTTGATTTAATGATTTAGCATTGTTACATGTCATGATCATCTACTTGGTTTCTGCAGTTTTTTGATCCATGACAAGAGTGGCATCACAAAGATCAGTGTTGGGTATGTGGGAATGGGCACAAGCTTATTTGGAAGGTTTGCTCATGGCTTCTGTTTGGGCTGAGGCCACTCCCATATATTTGAACAAGGCCAGCAAAATGTCTGCATGCTTTAAAAGGCTAAAGATAAAATCTTTACATCGTAGTTTTACTACTGTAAGGGAATATTGTTACTTTGCATTTCAGAGATGATAACAAACCTTCAGAACCTTTGTAAGTGCTTAGTTTTGAGCTGAATCCATGAAATATTATCAGTAAAGTTTTCTATCAAGATGTGCTAGTGAGGCTCTGCCACCACCCAAGAATCTATTGATAATCTTGCACAAAATTAATCAACCTCTAAACTTAAACTTTCTCATCTGTAAAGGGGGCATAATGTATCTTTATCAATTGTGTAAAATGCTTACCTCAGTTCTGATAAAGTAAATGCTGAAATGATGAGGTTATGAAGATGATCATGTTGGGGACCTGCCATAGGGCCCAGATGTGGCAGGGATGACATAATTTCAGTAGCCTAGAAACAAACAGTATGACAGTTAGCATGAATAATTGCATTTAGGTTCAAAAACTCAGTTGTTTGATCATTATAGTGCCTCAAAAACTCAGTTGTTTGATCATTATAGTGCCTCTATCTTACTGGAGGTCAGTTTATGTATCAAAAGGCTTTAGTTGATAGTCCTAAAGGCTATGGGACCCTATCTCACTCATCTTTGCATGACTCAAGAAATGGACACTGAAGGAATGAAGTAATTCCCTTGCTCACTTGGCTGGTAGAAGAGCTAGGGAGGTCTCTTGTGTGTCAGTAAAACCTCTGTGAGTTGAGTTCCAGGAAGGCAATGGTCCTGTTGAACTATGCCCCTCTCAGAGCACATATGTAGGGTTTTGTTGACTGAGGAAAAAACCTTTCACTGAGGTGTAGTATGCAGAGGTGGTTTGGTCCGCTTTGGAGAGGTAAATCGCAAGGGGCCATGTTAGGTCCCTGGAGAAAAGAAGACTTTGGTGAGTCAGAAAGCTGTCTTCAAAAATGTGAAGGGTGGTTGTTTCTCTTTGAAAGGCAGAATTGGAACAGGTTAAATAGGATGACGAACTTTCAAACAGTAGTAGGAGCTCTGCCACAGAAGTGAATGCACAGCAGCCGGGGGCCTGTTGTGGGCGAGCAGAGGAGCACCCTCTGCACCGCTGCTCTGTTCCTGCCTCTGGTACTTGGCCGCGGCAGCTGGCCTTAGTGGTGCGTCTCTTCTGGGGGTGACGCGGCCCCAGGGTGTTCAGACTGGAGTTTGGCGGTGGATGGCAAAGCACTTTGCCAGCCATCACTGCTGTGTAGCGTTAGACGTCATTAATTTAAAACTGTTCACGGTTGAGGATTAACACAGAGAACCCCCAGAATCTCTCCAAACCTGATATTCCACAATTCTGGAGTGTTGAACCTTTATTGGAGGAATGTGGGTGGTTTGAAAGTAATTTCTTGGCAGATTACCTCAGTTCCTTCATGCTTAACATTTTTCTATTTTATTTTAAAGAGATATAATAGGAAAGGATTCTTCATGATACCAAATGATTATTTGCTTTATGAGGGTTTTTTTTCAACATCCTTTAAATAGAAGCCTCATTTCAATTTAAGTGTATTTATAACTTAATTCAGCAGTTTAGAACTGAAGCTATCCTATATTGAAAAGTCAATCAGAAATGGTTTACGCGTCTCTAAAATTATCATGTAAATTAGTGGAAAAATAGCAAAAACATTGTAGCAAGAAACATCTGTTTTTTTTTTAAATCTAAAATTTGTGTTTATATATCTCTGTCTTTCTGATGGCCAAATTATTCTGTATAAAGATTAAATTTTACTTACATGAACCTTGTAGGTCTACATTCATCTTGGTACTTTAGTAGCTCCTCAGTTGAAACTAATTCTACCCTCTTGTCTGCCTCCTTGCCTTGACTTGTTGGTATTGAGTTGTGGCACATTAGCACCTCCTTCGATAGAGATTGGACTGATGGGTGCTTAGTCAGCCATTTAAAGTGGTATGAGTTACTTTGGCTTGACCCTACTACTGGGCCCTGCTACTGTGCAAAGAGAGAACATGTTTGTGATAGGCACTGGTGTCAGTTAACATAGCAAGGACTGTATATTACCATTTTCTGTAGGAGAGAAAACATCGCACAGGAGAGAAAAGTGAAATACTTTACAATTTGGGAGTGCTTCATTTTCCTAAACCATCATCCTTTTAAGTTGTGTATTTAATTTGGAATGTAGTAATCTGATCCTAATGGCCTGCAAAATATTTTAGCGAGATTCTTTTCTTCCGACATAAAGATTAGACAGGTTCTCACACTCCCTTCAAGTACATTTACAGCTGGGTGCCTGAGGTAGGAGGAAACCATAGGATCACTCTCTCTTTCTGTCAATCCATCTGAAAAGCTGGGTAGATGGATACATTGAAAAACAGATGCTGTGTTAAAGCTAAGGTCTCCTGGATAAATTGCCAAATAAATGTAATCCAAAATGTTTATTCTAGTTACATTTTGTTGAAAGCAATTCAGGAAAAATACAAATATATATCCTTTACATTTAGAATTAAAACAAAAACACAGCTGAAACCCATCTCAGTCTGTTCAGGTTCAGTATGTGTGAACTGTACTTTGAAAAATGGGTGACATTTCCAGTACCATCCTTCACTACCCACCACCCCAGCCAGCCAAGGTCTCTAAATGCACTGTATCTTTTTTCTCCTGATGCATTCATTCCACTATACAGATTATTTGTGTAAAAGAATCACTTGATTGGTCATGAGCGGTTGTTGATTATGGGTGCCACTTGCATATTAGTCAAAAGATGGGGATGGCCCGTGAGTAGCAGAGGCTGAGGGAGTCTCGGAGGGCTTAGTACGCTGGTTCCCTGGTTGGGGTGGTGGCCATGTGCTCATCAGGTGCTGTGCTTCCCTGTGTGTAGTGACCCTTTTGTTTATAAAGGCAAAGTTTGGGTAGAGGGGTGGGAAGGGAGAGTCCCTGGAATGTTGAGACTCCACAGTATCCTTCCCTTGCCTTCATAATAGCCCACGACATGAGTGTATTGATTTTTTAAAAATTACTGTGAGTGTAAAGGGGGAAAAGAAAAGGCAGAGAAATGAATCAGTAAGGGAGGAAAGAATTGGGGTGAGGGTCTTAATGGGGAGTGGCTTCAGTGACCGGCCTTCGTAGATTATACTCTGTATAGCTGCTCTCTCAGGTGCTAATTTACTGATGTGTTTCAAAGTTTCATCTGTGTTGTATTTCTATGCCAATTACTCATTTCTAAAAGCCAGCAGTTACCTGTCTTAAGGAAAAAGAAATCTTGACAACAACTTGAGCCGTAAGTGTTTGACTACAGAATGTTACTGCCAGAGGAATCTACTGTGTTTGCAGGTCATTGTGACCAGATGTTTAATGGTCTCACTTGGAGCAGGAAGTGGACATTTTCTGGATGTTCCAAGGAGATAGAAACCTTGGCCCTTGGGTAGAGACTTCAGGAATACATATTTGACCTCACATAAGAACTGCCTGAAGGAAGGAATGCTCTTAGGAATTCACAGAGCATCCTGTGCCGAGAACCTGCTGCGGGCTGAGTTCTGGGCTCGAAGTTGGAGACGCAAACAGAAGTAAGCCGGGGAGGGTGCCCTCAGGGAGCCTGTTATCTAGGAGGAAAACTGATGCTGGCCCATGTCTTTCAGTGCAGTGGGGTCCGGGGGGTAACAGAAGAAGGGAGTATTAGGAAGGGGAAGACTTAGCCCGGTTTTTGGAGAAAGCAAGAGTTAACCAGAGACTCAGGTGTGGTAGGTGAGGGGTGTAGTGGAGGAAGTAGCGGGACAGAGTAGAGGTGTGTGAGGTGCTGGCTGCCACTGGTATTGCTGGTCTCCCAAGTGCTGGGGTGGGGGTGACAGTTTGGGGACAGAGCAGTAGCAGTGGGCTTGGGCAGGGAGGCACATAAGAGACTAGAGTTACTGTCTAAGTAAGAGATGATCAAGAGATGCATTGGACAGGTGGCCTGAGACTCCCAAGGGCGAAGGCACTTGGCAGGACATGGCTGGATGTTGGCTCTGGCAGACCCTCTAGCCTCTAACGCCCTGTGCTTTTCCACTGTATGTTAGCAGAGGCAGGGGGGATAGTGGCTGAGCACAGGATTTAGGATCAGGCAGATGGGAGTTCCATTTCTAGCTGTGCCTCTTACCTGGTGTGTGACCTTGGACAAAGACGAAGAACTTGACCTTTCTGAGAACTCATCTGAAAGATGAGGATAACTTCGCTGATTAGACGGTCTAGGCAGATTGAATTTCAGAGATAGATCTTAGCCCAGGACCTGGCAGAGATTGAAGTGCTGCATACAGGGTTCCTTCTGCTATTTTAATTAATGATCATTTTCTCAGGACAGGTATCTAAATGCTGAGGAGCCATGGGAGTTGGGGGGATCCTTAAGGGAAGATGTGAAGTGAGGTCAGGAGCTGTGGGCAGAGTGAGGTAGCCTGTTTGGTAGTCCGGGTATCCCCCCCACACTGTGAGGGCTGGTGCAGGAGAGCATGGCTATGTGGGGCTCACTTCCCTCCTGGCTTGCTAAGAAAAGGGGGATGCCCAGAGGGCCTCAACAGAGTAATACTCCAGTTGTCTAGAGCCTAAAACAAGCAGGCTTGCTAGCAGGGCTGAGGGGAGACGCCAGGGCTTCTATGGTTCTCCCCTGCCAAACTGTGTTTGGGACTGTGATTAAAGTCCTTCCTAAGGGGAAGCACAAGATAGGGGAAGAGGATTGAAAGGTACTGACTTCCAATTATAAATTAAGTCATGAGAATACACTGTGCAGCAGAGGGAGTACAGCTAATAGTATTGTAACAACTTTATATGGTGACAGATGGCAGCTAGCATTATCCTGGTGATCACTTCATAATGTATACAAATGTTGAATCACTATGTTGTATACCTAGAACTAATACTGTATGCCAGCTATACTTCAGAAAAAACCCAAAATACAAAACCACCAAAAACAAAGTCCTTTGCAGACTTATGGGTGGCCTTTGTTATTCTCAGGCAAGGGCAGTGGTCCTCTGCAGAGGTGCCCTCAGGAGGTACAGAGAGGGCCTAAGAGTGTTAGGTATGGAGAGGGTAAAATTTGCTTCTGCTATAGTTTTGTAGGTGAAAAGGAACAAATTTTTCTTCCAGAGACTACAAAGCAAATTGTTTTTCTCTTGTTTTTATTAAAGTATCATTGATAGACAATCTTATGTTGGTTGCACATATACAACACAGTGTTTTCAACATTCACCTGTTATCAAGTCTTCACCCCCCCATTGCAGTCACTGTCTATCAACATAATAAGATGTTATGGAGTCATTACTTGTCTTCTCCAAAAGCAGATTGTTTTTCATTTGAGAACCTCTGTGGATAAAATGAAGGTTCCTGTGGCCAGGATTCTCACCTGGCCCTGGTTGGTTAGCTCACTACACACATGTGGGCAATACGTTGCTATTGACTATATAAAGAGCTGTGCCCAGTGGTCTGGGTGACATGGTGGCATGGCTGCAAGGCTGCAGGAGAGCAGAGCAGAGGCCGGAGTGGTGGCAGCGCCGAGGACAGAGGCCCAGAGGCAGAGATCAGCTTGCTGCATGCGTACTCACTCTGAGTGAATGGGATTTTGGTGATTGACCTGCCACCATGGAAATAAAGTTGGGTATAACCCTTTCAGCATTTTATTGTCATTTCTTTGGTCACACTGAATCCATAGTGAACTTGCCCGGGGCTGAAACCCATTGGCAAGTCAGCCTCCAAATATAATATTTGTTACGCATTTCTTTTTCTGGAAGGGAACTTCAGGATATGGTGCCTATGAGGTAAGATATTAGCATGTCAAGGCTATGCCACTGGCATGCCACGTTTTATCACTTGACTTTGTTCTTTGGAAATGTAATGCTTTTCTCTGTCTTTTCTTTTTTCTCTGTAGTCAGAAAATGGGTAAGAAGAGTCGAGTAAAAACACAAAAATCAGGCACTGGTGCTCCAGCAAGTATGTCCCCGAAGGAAACCTTGAACTTAACCAGTGAGCTGTTGCAGAGTAAGTTACTCTCGGCCTTCCTGCCTTCAGGTGGGGCACGTGCGCTTTCACTGCTCTGCGTCCTGGGTGCTGCCAGGGAGAGTCACTTTGGCGAAGCATGATGGGGCACACACTTGTGTTCACACCCCAGCCTCCTAGCTGTGTGACCTGGGCGAGTTGCAGAACGCCTCTGCCTTACAGTCACCCGTCTGTAAATGGTGATGCTGGGGCCTTTCAGGACTGTGGAACTATTAATGAGGCTTGTGTGGATTGAACGTAAAACTTCTAAAGCACAGCAACCCAAAACGTGTCTTCCCTGGGCTGGTGGGCAAGGATGTGCTCTACTACTTTTTAACAGTGTGGCCTTGGACAAATTACTTCATCCCTGAGTCTCGGTATCCACATGGGTAAATAAAGACTGTAATGAGGACCACATGAGCTACTGCTCGTGAAGGTGTGATAGGGGCTGTACAGCCCAAATTGAGCACGGCGTGCCTGTCAGCCAGCATGCCATTGGAACTCTGTGCCCTGACTAGAGTGGTTCCTTTATTTTCTGTAATTCAGTAGTAGTTTTCCAGTTTTCACGAGCTGAAGTGATGAGTTCTTGGTTCAAGGGAATTAGATAGGTATTCAGTGCCTATGCTTGCTTTAGTTACTTAACATAACCTGGTAACTTCCTTTTTTAATTGTGAATTTAAATTGGGGCTGCTTGTTTCAAAGGTGTGGTCACTCCATTAGCTACATTTAGTTCATTTTCTTTGCCTGTTTATGTTTAGATTATGTGATAGGCTAAACCCCAAATAAAAATTTAGCTTTCTCTCCTGCCCAGAAGCAGGCAGCAACCAAGTCAGGGTCAGGTCCTACCGAAGTGCTTCCATGGACTCCATCTCCAAGAGCCGTGTGGGTGCCCCACAGAGCACTGTGTGCCGACCGCTCCCTGCCTCACTTGCCCACTGGGCCGTAAGCAGTGTGAGGACAGGTTCTTTCTTGTATTGCAGGGCCTCCCCTCCCCTCAGTCGGTATTTGCTGGTGGAAGAATGAAGTAAGACTGGTTAACTTAAGTAGTTCTGGGTTAGCACAGAGCTAGTTTCTGTGCATTATTTACCACATTGACTCTCTTCTGTGAGAGCAGGGGCGGCAGGAAGGCTGGCAGGAGCATGGGAGGGGCTCGCTGTCTAAACCAGAATGGCCGCTCACAAAGGAGTGTGCTGCTGACAGGCCAGTGCTGGGGCGCAGCCTCCCAGGCCGAGCGTGGTCTTTGGTTCTGGCCCTGCAGTCGAATCTTAGCTTCTTTTTTAGCAGCAACTGTGCCACCTCTTTTTGTAACTCCCCCAGAGTGCTTAATATAGAGCCCTACACATGGATGTGAAATATTTGTTGACTAATTGTCCTTATGTCCAATTTAACTGGTTCCCCCAGAGAGACATTGTTATGGGGTTTAACTAGAAAGAAACGTTAACTTTAAATATTACCTTCTTTTCACCATCTTGAGGAGTTTTTAGGGAAATGCTTTGCATTTCAGCTCACCTTTTTAGATTTTCCTGTTTCCAAGTGTATTCTGAGGAAAGCTGATCAGAGCAACAAGAACGAGGTAGATGCACGCTAGGTGCTCACACTCAGGTGCTGGGCCAGAGTTTAATGAGTGGCATTTGAATGGTTTCAGATGCTTTGGTTTATATGCTTTGAAAAGTACACTTGATTTATACTTCTCACCTTTATCATCATGCTGTGGTATCTTTGTCCTTTAGCAATAACAAAACCCAAGTCCTCTTCTGAAGATGAAGTGGTGGAGTTGAAAGAAATGTTTGAGTTCTATGGCTTTTCTGTTACAGAATGCAGCAGTCCTGCACCGGGTCCAGGAAAAGAATGGGAGGAGTATGTGCAGATCAGGTCCCTAGTCGAGAAAATTCGAAAAAAACAGAAAGGTAAATTGTCTGGAATGATCATCAGACCTTAATCGAGTGATGCGCAGACTTGGCCTGAGTCTGAAAGGCCTAGGTAGCAGCAGAGGTCTCAGTGCCCCCCGTGCCTCTCTGCGGGGTCGCTAGAAGGTCGCCTCGGCGGCAGAGAGGTTGTGGTGGGACATTGCCCTGATCCCTCCCAGCACTGGGATGCTGTTGCCTGTTTTGTGGGGGTAAACGTGTTGCGTTTAGGGAGAAAAAATGTATGTGTCTGGGGGCTAAAATGACACCACCTTTATTTAATGAAATAGATATTGAAATATGCTTTTCCATATTGTGTTTATGTTAGAGTTTGAGGTCAGTGCATAATGCTGTGAGTGGGCAGCACACAAATATACGGACTGGTTAGTATTTCACCAAGATTTATGATGACCTCAAGTAAGAGATGTGGTTTTATTTCCTAAGCTGTGTTTTATGGGGTAAATTCAGCAGATGTCTTAATGATTCTCAGGTTGGTGATGGGGCCAAGTGTCAGTTTAAAAAGCATATTCAATATACTGATTGTTTTTGTCTGTAAAGCAAGAAAGCAGGGATTGGTATGCAGGGCCACGAGGACAGGAGAAGGAGAAACGAAACATGGAGCCTACATTTAAAAGGATGGGAAAAACCTGCTTAGACGCCCTTTTTATTTATTGTTATGAGAGTAAGTCAGCAGAGGGTTTGTTTCCTATTTTCTCTCAGAAGCAGCAGTTTTCTTGCTCTCCCATACACCTCTACAAAAGCAGTCTTTAGGTCAGATGGTCTTACACCCCGCATGGTGACAGGTGCCTTTCTAACGTGTTCATTTGCATTACGTGGCCGACTGTGCTTATCATGGCTCACCACATCAGGCTGAAAAACGTGTATATAGCCCGAGAACCTCTTCTGAGTAGAGGCCGTTGGCTTCACCTGGCCCTAAAGCTAGATCGTTTGTTAGTTCTCAGGAGGTGAGAGCAAGTTGTGTCGGGAACTATCCCCGACACATCAGTCTGTTCCTTTAGGCGGCGTCTGCCCATCTCATGTGGCCAGCACTGTGTGGGCAGCCCCTTCGCGAGTACAGTTGACTGGTGATTACATCGGGTTTGTGGAGTCCCTGTCCTCTCCCTTTATCTGTCCGAACATAATGGGTTTTCCTGTGCATAGCTTTTCATCTTTTTGAGTATTTCTAACATGCTGAAAAGTCTAGACAATAACATAATGGTGCCTATGAATCCACTGCCCAAGCTGAATCCACACAAAGTCTTACTGGTTCCAGTTCTTTCCTTCTCTCCCACCTCCTCTCTCTGCCCTTTGTTTTGCTTTTGTATTTGTCTTTAAGAAATAAGTGTTACGGATAGAGCTGAAGCCCTGTGCTTCCATCTCTTTCCCTTCCTCAGGAAGTTTGTCTTTACTGACAGTGTTTGCCTACCATGTGTAAAACCCCATAACAATATATGATAGTAATTGGTGTCTTAGAAATTTACATAAATGGTATCATACCACTTGAATTAAAAAAAACAATGTTATATTTTATTTCTAGTGATACAGAGATCCAACTCACTTAAGTCATCCCACAGAATTGTGCAGCAGAGCTTTCTAGTTTGTGCTCAGCTTCACAACTGCCCCCTTGTGCACTTATATGAGCTGTTGATTTTGGTTTTCATGAGACTTGCGTTGAGCTGGATGATGAATGAGCCTGAGAGACTGGCCATTGGGCTTAAAGCGGAAAGCTGCCCTGTCCATCTGCAGTGTCTCTTCTCACCTAACTGAACCTACCAGCCAATATTCCTGCTTCCTCAGATCACTAAATATTTCTCCATAGCTGACAGGGAGTTGAGGATTTTAATCTGCCTTTCCCATCACTAGTTATGTTCTGTGAGTACCTAGTGATTAGGTTTTCTGTTTTCTTTTTTTCCTTGTGATTTCCCCTTTTGCCCATGGGTCATTTAGAAGTATGCTGTTTAATTTCCAAATGTTTGGGGACTTCCAAGATATCTTTCTTTTCCGTTTACTCCTAGTTTAATTATGTTGTTAGAGAACATAGTTTGTATGATTTCAGCCCTTTCCAGTGTATTTAAGAAATTTTTTAACCTATTTATGCTTTCCTTTCTTCCTTTTTATTGAAGAGTAATTGGCGTCCAATGTTGTATTAGTGTCAGGTGTACAACATAATTCCATATTTATATACATTATGAAATGGTTACCACAGTAAGTTTAATTACCATCTGTCTCTGGTGATTAGTTTTTGATTTTTTTAAAGATTGGAGCATTATCACTACTTCCAATGTTATGTATGGTCTGTTTATTTTCTGAGAGCAGCTTGAATGATAAATGTCCTAAAAGTAGCTCTGGTTTTCTAACACATGATTGCTGTAGGTCTGTCTGTTACTTTTGATGGAAAAAGAGAAGATTACTTTCCTGATCTCATGAAATGGGCCTCTGAAAATGGAGCTTCTGCCGAGGGATTTGAGATGGTTAACTTCAAAGAAGAAGGCTGTGGTTTGAGAGCCACAAGAGATATCAAGGTGAGTTGATGAACTGCTGGTCTGGAGGGGCTCAGTGTGCTTGGATCGTGGTGCAGTGTGGAGGGCACACGGTGCGGAGACGGACGCCTTCGGTTTGTTCTGGGCCTCGTGGGCAAACGGGCAGCACGCAGCCACGCTCCCTCTCCTCCACAGCAGTCTGCACACTGGCCACTGAGGCCCGGTGTTCTAGGCAGCCCCTGCCAGCTTGTCCTCCGTGGGAGCTGTGTTACTGACCAAGGACTTGGGGCAAATTCTGATCCCTGTTAGGAGACATGGAGCATGTCTCAGAGGATTTGGGATTTAAATAAAGAGAAGGATGTGGGTGGTTTGGCGGGAGGTCACACAGGACCTTGTTTGTGACAGACTGGATGTGGGATGGAGGATGGACAGTGTCAAGGACATTGAGCAGTTTTCTGGAGTGGCACCTGAGTGGAAACTGAGTGGGTGTACCACCTACTGAAACGTAACAGCAGAAAGGGGAATGAGAGTGTGCATTCGCTGGGAGCCCAATGCTCTTCTCTCCTCTTGGTTGTTCCTTCCAGGTGCAGGAACAGCACTGCCCAGAGGCAGAGACAGACATTCTCAGGCTCTGCACCTCACTCGTGCCTCTGCACGAGGGAAGGTGTAACTTAGTTTGAGGATTTGGGGAGAATGAACCTGTCTTGGTTGCTTGCCTGTCTGCATTTATCCCACTGTTCTCTCTCCATCCTATAAGTTTTACAGAGGCAGACCACACGTGGGGAGGCCTGTGGGGCTCCAGTTCTGCCTGTAACTAGGTGGGGGAGTCTGTCTAATTCTGGGATTCAGTAGGTGATATTTTGATGACCATCTGTTGTAGTCTTGTGTCTCTTTTGGTTGGTTCAGAACTTGGGTGCAGGAATGGGTGTTATTTATTTGGGCCCCTTCAAACCTCTAGCAACATTTTTGGTCAAATTGTAGTTAACCTTTCATCAATACATTGATAAATTATACACTGGTTTCTTAAATATCTGTTAAATACCTAGTATGTGTGCTTGTTATTACACCAGGCTTAACAAAAAACTAAGATCTCTTTCTTCATGCTGCTTATAATCTGTAGTAAGGGACAAGACACACATAAAAATAATTCAGGTCACAGAGGTTGGTGAAAGGCAGGAGTTCTTCCCTCTTATCAGAGGAGATGCATCATTTGTGTGAGAGCTGCCCGGACATCATAGCTCTGGTCTGTCTTCAGTATGTGCATGTTTTTTTGTGTAGCTTTACTGAGATAAATGAAATACAAAAGTTTGTACATGTTTGATTTATACATTTTGGTGAGTTTGGACATAATGAGGACACTTGTGGTGCCAGCACCACAGGCCAGCCACTACTGTGTGTGTGTTTTAAGCAGGATAGACATACATAGGACATAATGAAACATCTCCTATTGTTAAAATATGAGATAATTCTTTGGGGAAGAAAATTAGCCAAAATATGTCTTTGGGCTTGTGCTTTTGCTGGTTACTAGGTGCTTTAAAGACAAGCATGTGGAGGAAGGGATGTTACTCTGGCTTCAAAAATTCAATAGCAGGGTCATTTATGTTGACAAATTAGGGTTTTTGTTGGAGGTAGAAATGTTTTGTTTTGAGAACTTAAAAATACAAGTACAGCAAAGAATAACTAATTTTGTACTTTGCCCCAAATTACTATATTTGCTTCAAATTAAAGTTGAAAGCCCTATTTTTAATTTCTTCTCAGTATACATAGTTTTTCTGTTGGAAACAGGATTTTAAACTGTGCCTCTACTCATTTAACTATACCATAAATGTTTACATATAAAAATACACTTGATAATTAGTAATGAAGACATGAAGTGCTAATGTACACCTCAAACTGTATTTCTTGCATGATTGGATTTCTAACCATAGTACTTGGATTGAGGATTGTAACTGTGTTTCGATAACTCTGCTGTTTTCTTATGTTTTTCTTCCTAGGCAGAAGAATTATTTTTATGGGTTCCACGAAAATTACTAATGACTGTTGAATCTGCTAAAAATTCAATGTTGGGTGAGAATAATTTCTGACTGTTTGTTCAAGGCAAAGTGCAAATGACAAAAATATGTAAGATTTATTTTGTGGAGCGAAGCACCATATTTGGTTGTTTTCTCAACTAGTGAAATACTCTCCTACATCTCTGTCATGTCTTCTGTGCTTATAATCTGATATAGTAGAATGTCAAAAGAAAGGTGCATGTTACTTTAAATGTTACAGACTTTTCAGTTATTTCTTAACTTTAATGGATATTTTGAGTGAATACTTTTTGAAGTAGTTATGGAACTTACGCTGTTAACTTCTGGGTTAATTCAGGGCCCTTATATTCTCAAGACCGAATTCTTCAAGCCATGGGAAACATCACACTGGCCTTTCATCTACTGTGTGAGCGAGCCGACCCTAACTCTTTCTGGCAGCCTTACATTCAGACCCTGCCCTGCGAGTACGACACGCCTCTCTACTTTGAAGAAGATGAAGTTCGGCATCTTCAGTCAACACAAGCAGTACATGATGTCTTCAGCCAGTATAAGAACACAGCTCGGCAGTATGCCTATTTCTACAAAGTCATCCAGGTGAGCAGCTGGTAACTGCATAAATGTTCCACTTGACATCTTATTTAGGGTGCTTAACAGTTTGCTTTTTAAGTTAAAAGGCATTCTAATTCTAGTCTGCTATTTCTGTTTTTACAGAAATATCACTGAAATACGGTTTGATTGTACCTGACTTCATCAGTGTTCAGTGTTACTGTAAGCAGCAGTTATGAAAGTCACTAAGTTATGAAAGATTTTCTGAAATAAAAAATTGCAATGAAATTTTAGAACCTATAAAATGTATCTAATTAAAAAAGGTGTGCCATGTACAAATTTTCCAAGGAAATGAAAGTTCATATGTGGGTTCATAAATACACACAGATACACACGTGTGTGTATGTGTGTGTGTGTATGGTAAAATACAATTCATTTACTAAATTCTAATACTGAGTTCTTATGTCTTTCAGAGTGTACTGTGTATTACTTTTAATTAGTGCTAAGTAAGATTCATAAAAATCTGTACAGCTGTGAGCATGGGAATCACATCTGATTACTCCTTTCTGTGCTGTGGTGGTTCAGGCAGCATTAGCTCTGCTTTCCAGTTGCGCAGCAGTTAGGTGGTGCTCGTTCCCTCCAGGGCTGAGAGAGGGGCAGCGTCTTTGCCTCCTGAGTCTCCCCTTTCCCAGTTGCTCAGGAGTCAGCTCCTGGGCTGCTCTACCCGGTATGTGGTAAAGCACAGCCCAAGCGTGCATAGCCCAAAAATGTCAGTAGTGCTGAGGCTGAGAAACAACGCTGTGTATTCATATATAGAAACAAATAATCTCATATGTCTACATGATTCCAAATATCACCATCATTCCCTTCTAATGATTGATTGTCTGGGGCCTGACTGACACTGGTCACTGGTCACTGTACCTCCATGTCAGAAAGTCTTCTCATTAGCTCATTTCACAGCCTTCCTGGCTTTAGCCACCTGGTGTGGTTAAGAGAACGTATTTTAAAGTGCATTCTTGCTTGTTGTCATTTAACAAACATCACTTATTTTTAGCAACCTACAAATATAAAATCATTTTTGGAGTCATTTGACTTGTTAAGGATATAAAAACAGGGGAACCAACATAGAAAAAAAATCTAAGCATAAAATTTAAATTACTCTTTACAAACTAGTGCAGATTTGGATGAGTTACTGAGTTGAGATCCTTGGAATTGCATTTTGAAAGTGAACTCAATGTGCTGGGGTGTCATCCCATGTCCATATTAGCTGGGGACAGTTTAATCAGGAAGGGGGCATTTGAATGATGGAGGGAAAGGAGCACAGTCCTGAGCGTGATTCAAGGGAGGGTTGAAGCAGCGATGGGATAAGCAGCCATGGCCAAGAGAGAGGCCAGTGGCTGCACTGAAAAAACTTGAGCTTTGTAGTAAGACAAACCTGAGTTGAAATCCTAATTCCACATCTTCCTTGCTATTTAAATATAATTTGGAATTAGTTGCTATACCCTTCTCTGTTTTCTGATCTATAAGATAAAAATATGAGACTCATTTTTCAGTATAACTGTTGGCAGCCTGTGTGGGGTTGGATTTTATGTTTGCTGTGGTTTTAAAATCATGTTAATGGCTTACCATCAAGTCATAGTGGCATGGTAGGAAAACCGCCCAGTTTCCCCTGTGAGCCTTTATGCCATACCATGTATCCCTGGGGCACCCACATTTCTGGGGAGAAGCACAGCTTTGCACGTAGTAAACACTGTTATCCCAACATTGTGATTGGGTTAGGGGTGGTTCTTTTTCAGAAGAAGGAAAAGTGACAGTCATTTAACATTAATAAAATTAAGCTGTTAGAAGGGAATCATTATAAATTGAAAATGCATCATAATGAGGTTTTGTAGAAAATGTCCTAATCAGTGGGTTAATATGAGTGCCTGTTGGAATAGGAGCTACAGGCGGCCTACAATGAGATGCACTGCTGTGACAGCCAGGAGGGTAGAGGCCAAGGAGTGGAAGGTTTTTGCATAAGGATTCATGATAACAGAAAACCGTTTTAAGCAAAAATTATCTTTTTAAAAATCATATTTTGATTCTAGCTGTTTTTCTGGTTTTAGAATGTTCTCATTGGTTGCAGAAGTCTTTAGTAGTTGAGAGCAAACACAAATGTTACTACTGTACTCTTGTTTGTTAGTGGCATGTTTTCTCCCCTCGGTGCCAAACCAGATCTCTTTCTCAGGCTTTTCCAGGGTCGCATTCTGGGCTTTTGCTCTTTCTTGGTATGTTGTTATCACTCAGGTGGAGTGAATGAGGAGCATTCATCAGTTCATATTTAACACTCCCATTACAGTGACATGCCCCTATGTGATTTCTGGCTCTTAATCTCTTTCAGTGTAATGGGAACCCTCTCCTCAGAGAAACGTGATGTGCACTGTATCAAACACTTGCATACCATTTGCGAGATCCAAATTCCCTATCCCGATTTGCAGTTTTTAGTTGACTTCCCACTGAAATTCATTTTCCTGGGGCCTGTACCAGCCGTCTGCCTAATCTGAAATCCGTTATTTTTCTTCTGAGCTGACTGAGGCTTGAAGGGCTGCCGGCCATGGCTCTTGGTCACTCTCTCCTGTGTACCCACAGTGTGACAGCAAGCAAGATTTGGTTCCATGTGTCTGTGGTGGAGATCCCAGTCCCTGGGAGAGGGGCACAGAAAAGCATTGTAGTTCAGCCTTACATCTGGCTTCAGGCTTTAGAGTGTTTATTCTAAAAGAAAAGCAGTGCTAGTACTAACTTCTAGTGATTATAAATTCCTTCAGGTAGATTTCTCTGTATTGCATTTTTTTTATTTTCAAGTCTTTCTCTCTCTCTCTTTGGTTATTCTTTCCTAAAAAATCAAAAAATAATTTCCTGTGCTCTTTTCTTCAGCATATTTTCTTGGTCAGGGGCTTTTTATTGTGGCCACCTGTTAGCTCAGAACTTTAACTTGTAGCTTTACAGGGTTTAAGTCTTGGCCTCTGCTTATCCTCATATAGTAGGGGCTTGGCCTTATGGTCTTATAAGTTTTTTTTCATTGTGTTCTTTTTGAGGTATTCAGTGTGTCTTTTAGCTTTTCAACAAATGACAATATGTGATAAGAAGCCTCAAACTCAAGGGATTTAGAGAGCATACCTTGTGTTAAGATATGGCACCTGCTGGTGAAACATTACACTGCAGCTTAATGGTTGAGAAATGTCAACACCCAGACTCAAGGCTAAATTTAGATGTCGTGGCTCAGCCAAATGCTGGAAAAGGCTTGTGTGGATTGAGAAACCTAAGCGGTGGTGAAATTTCTTCCAATTTGTGAAATGGAGACCAGGGAAGAAGAGAGGAGTAAGGTGGAAGGCAGGACCTGGCATATAAAACTGTTGCAGTTTTAAACCTATAAAAGTATACTTTTGGAGCAGGACACTCCAAAATTCAGCTCCAAATTGGAACTTTTGCATGGAAACATATGACTAGTTTTGTGATAGAAATCAGTGAAGAAATAGGATTTGGCTTGAACCCAGCTGTGAAGCAGTGTAATTGCATCAACATGAAGTGAATCTTACCAAATTTGACTTAACACAGATAAATGATAGTCCAAATATTTCTCACCCATGTCAATGAAAGAGAAATGAACAAATCCTATGAATGAACTGTTCATTTAATTGATAATGTCCTTAGGTGGACCAGGCATTGCCCTGTGGGATGCCAGCTTGTCCTGAGGTTAACAGTGTCATTTCCCTGTGTTGTTGATCTTGAATATGTTCTTTTAAGTAAATGCAAATATACAGGCTCGCTACCATAGAGGCATATTTATAAAATAACTATTTTCTGTTGACCTCGTGATCGCTGATTTGTTCTACCTCACTTGGATTTGCTCTTATGTGTTGGTTGAAGAGTTGAGAGGTGCAGGAACAGGGATGTAGGTGCAGAGACGCATTCGCACATAAACCGCCATGAGTCTTGTTTCAAGACAAGCAAGACTTCTGCCTTCCTGTGTTGCTGTAAGCTTCTACTTTTCCTGTCTTACACTCGAGGATGGAAAAGGCAGTCTTAAGTTGGCTGTCTTCCTTGAACGAGCAATGCCGCATACCTAGCCAGGGCTGTGGCAGGAGATTTGAGCAGCCGCACTCACAACTTGCTGGAAACAGGGCCCACCCAGAGGCGGAGAAGGATGGCACTTCTGGCTCTTGGCATCCTGTGGCAGTTGTGGCTAAATACAAACAGTTGCTTCTCCCATTTCTCAGTGTTCTGCTTGTCTGTGACAGCCACACAAGAACAGCATAATATGTGAATTGGCAGTGATAGATTTAGCTTGTGCTTTCCTAAAACGCGCTTGTACGTATAGAAATCTGATCATACAGAAGGCCTTAAGGAAAGAGCAACAGATAAAAGTAAAAACAGTGGGCATAGTTTACTTAAAGATCCCAACACCCTGAAACTCTCAGGTGATACGCGTCAACATCTAAAGCTGTCTGTAGACATGTGTAGCCCCGCGCACTGTGCGGGAGAATGTGCACACACATTTGGTGACGTCATGACGGGCGCTGCTGAGCTTGTGCAGAGGTGGTATTCCTCATGGCCTCTCTCAGGTGGCAGGGGCTCTGCTTGCTCACCTTCTCTGCCGTTGGTCCGTCTCCCACCTGGAAACCAATACTTTTTTTTTTTATCCTTCCCAGATAAACTAGCCCACCACCACCTTCTCCTGACCCTGGATTTACTGCTCTTCATGTTTTTAACCCATTTTCTCTTCTTGACTGTTTAATTAATTAATTAATTCAACTAATAATGTTGAGTGTTTTTCAAGTGTGTGAGTGCCTGCACCTGGAATAGCGACTAGCATCTCTAGAGAAACAATGAGTTTTTTTCTTTTTCTTTTGAAATAATTTCTTAGAGCTACAAAAAAGTTGCAAACATAGTACAAAGTTGAAAGCACAGCCATGGGTGGGCACTGCTTCCTAGATACCATTCTCCTGCCCCTCTTCCCACTTAAGTTTTCCCCTGGAGGCATACGTGTTCCAAAGGTGACATTTTTGTTC